GGGGCGTGCCCGCCTCTCCCTCTCCAAGTTTTTAAAGGCACCTCTTTCATCTTAAAGTTTTACTAGAAGCCATGTGACTTGTTTGAAGAGTGATCAGCGCTCCCTCTTTAGAACTTTCTTCTTGATGAATAGACTCTTTGGTATAAAATTATTACTTCCTTTGATCTGATCCCTGATCCCCCCCACCCCCAATTTAAATTTTGCTTTTTTGCAAACAAGAAACATGGGTCAGCACAGAAAATGTCTGCTTTATTTTCTATTGTAAACGACAGGTAAACAGGGTTACTTTATCCTAAACATCCAGGCACATACCCAATTACTTCTTCCTGTTAGAATTAAATCAAAACAGTAGCTCTCCTGAAAGTTGTTTCTCCTACCTTTTAAAACAAGAAATTATAGGAAGGCAAATTAAAGTTTTGTCAATTTACTTTAAAAATTGAAAAATATATAAATATACTCTACATAAGTAAAATATCGACCTATCTGAATTTATTAGACAATCCTCTGTTAGCTGGCTAAACTACCACCTTGATACCCCAAATTGTATTACAATGTTTCTGCATTAATCTTGCAACCTCTATTGGTAAAATTAATCCATCTTTCTTCTTCAATTTGTGAATGGGTTATAGAATTCTTTCAGAAAATTAGAATACCTTTCTTTCTTTCTTTTATGGTCAATCAACCATTCTCTCTAGTGTTTCTGTCTTTAGGTTCATGTTGCTTTTCCAGGCCCCTCATTTATTAGATATTTTACAACAAAATTCACTCTTCCTTTGCTGTTTTTAAGCATGTGTCTTGATCCATCTGAGGCTGCTGGGTTTACATGTCAATGTTTCTCTTAGCTTATTTATAGATACCTGAAAACTTGAGAGTGTATGTGACCAACACTCTTATGTTATCTCTTTTGAGAATTCTTGGGCACCTCCTCCACTGATGTTCTGCTTTCTATGTCATAATAATGATCTATTTTTCATTCACTCAGGCCCCAGCCGTAAGATAGGGCTCCAGTTCTGGTCAGTGTGCTCAATGGTTAGAGCTTCCGTCCCCGCACTGAAGGGTCGCAGGTTGCTATAGCAACATTTCTACAACCCCCTTTCCTTCCCTCTCCAGTCTTCTCAAACCGTCCCATCCATCTGTCGCTCAGAGATTCTTACTCTTTTGAGCCTTCATGCTGTAGCACCCCTATTTCCTAAAGCAACCTGAGTGGCCTTTGTTTAACTCATCCCTTCCTCTCCGCCAATTCAGTCCAAACTAATCTTAAGGAGGAGGTAAGAGGGCAACACTAAGTGGGAAGTAAAATATAAGTATTTTTGACTAGTAGGAGGTCATCAAGAGAAGACTGGGAACACTTACGTACACGTTGTGTCTCTCACTCATTCATCCATTCATTCATTCCTTCTATACTAAACGCCAAATGCTAACCAAGTATTGTGGGGATCTGAAGTTGGGTAAGACCTGGTCTTTGCCTTTGAGAGACTCGCCACCTTAGCGACTTTGAGTCTGGTATAGATTTCCCTCTCACACTTCAGTCTGAAGTTCTTTTGAGCATGTTGGGGACACCCTTGCCAAACAAGATCTCATTGTTTTTATAAAGTAGACTCCATTTTGGAGAAAGGATGCAAATTATAACTGGGCCTGGTAATGACTTGAGTCTATATGCTCTGCGGTCTTCAGTTCTCATTGGGATCATTCTCATTCCTCCTCAAGAGCCTTCAGGGAAGCTCTCTGGTCTTACAGTGGTGCTGGCACCTCTTTTTCTTAAAATCACACATCCTAGGCTGGTGACCTGGTTTGGTGTCTTCTCTTGTGCATACTGATATCTTTTTTAAAAATATATGTTTTTATTGATTTGAGAGAGAGAGAAATGTTGATGTGCACCCCCCTACTGGGGATCTAACCTGAAACCCGAGCATGTGCCCTGACTGGAAATTAAACCAGAGACCTTTTGGTGCGTGGGACAATGCTCAGCCAGCTGAGCCACACTGGCCAGGGCCATACTGATATCTCCTACCTTTAGACCATTAGACTACAAGTGAAAGCTTCTTCAGGAACTGCTATTATTTTTTGAGTTTTAGGCCCCTTCTATATCCCTTACTCTTTCATATTTACATATAGGCATTCATTTCTAAAAATTATGTCATAAATCTTGTCCTTATTTTACTGCTGTTTTGATACAATAAAGTAAGTTAAACAAGTAATTGTTTAACATCTCAGTAACAAGCATAGTACTTGATGTTATGACTATAAAAATAATATAGGCAATTATAATAAAACATGACTTTTATTGAATTCTTACTAACCTTCCAAGTATTAGTCTAAGTACTTTTTTTGTATTAATTTATTACTTGTATTAATTAAATTATATTCTCAACATTTTATTTGTATAACTATCAATTAGGATTCTTCAGAGAAACAGAACCAATAGGATATATACATCAAAATGTATTTATTATGCAGGATTGGCTCATGCAATTATGGCATAACCATATTATGGTATATAAGCAGAACCCATATTATGCACTTATCTATAAAGAGAAGTCTCATGATCAGCTATCTGTAAGATGGAGGTCCAGGAAAACTAGTGGTATAGTCTTAGTCAAAATCCACAGGACTGAGAACCATGGCAGCCAGTGATGTAAGTCCCAGTCCAAGTCTGAAGGCCCAAGAACTAGAAACGCTGATGCCCAAGGGTAGAAGAAGATGGATGTTCCAGCTCCAGCAGAGAGCTAATTCACCCTTCCACTTCCTTTCTGTCCTATTTGGGCCTTCAAAGGACTGGATGATGCTCAGGGTGAGGGTGATCTTTACTCAGTCTACCCATTCATATGCTAATCGCGCCCAGAGACACCCTCACAGACACATCCAGAAATAATGTTTTACCAACTCTCTGAGCATCCCTTAGACCAGTCAAGCTGACATGTAAAATTAACCATCACAACCTCCATAAGCACTAAAACAAAAGCAGAGAGCTTGGGTAACATGCTCAAGGTTACACAGCTAGCAGGTGGTAGAGACAGGATTTGAACCAATACTTTTAACCATCACTTCTATAATGGAAAATGAAGGAGACTCATAGGACTAATTTTTTGTCCTTAAGAAGCTACAGTCTGGTGACAGAGGCAGGGAGTATACATTAAACAGATTATTTCAATATAATGAATGCTAAGATATAGGCATACACAGGATGTTATAGCTTTCTTTCCTCTTTCCTTCATCACCTATGCGTAATGATTTCAAAAAAGTCATCCTGGTGGTTGGCTATGACGTCTCACTGAGAAATAAAGACGTGGTTAACAGTGGGTTATGCTATCTTTCATAGCATATGTCTGAGACTTGTTGGAGAGTCTGCAAGGATGACCCAGGACAGTTTTCAACCAGAATAAAGGCTCAAAGGTGATTTTGCCCCCCACCCTGGGGACATTTTGAAGTGTCTGGAGTCACAACTGGAGAGGTGCTAGTGGTATTGAGTGGGCAGAGGCCAGGGATGCTGCTACACGTCCTACAATGCACATGAAAAGACCCTTACATCAAAGAATTGTCTAGATCAAAGAGTCAACAGTGCCAAGTGGAAAAACACTGATCTAGGCTTCTATTGTCACTACTTCTATTAATCCGCATGGAAACAATTAATAGAATGAGAACAAGTGTAGAATATATGTCTAATGATTTTAAAATCCTCTAGAGAATGTACTGCTAAGCTGTGTGCTCCAAGAATTCACAGACTCTGTCTGCATTGCTGATGTCCGAGCCTAGCACAGTGCCAGGAACATAGTGGTTGTTCAAATATTGTTGCTTGGGCTGAATTGATTATGCCATGGAGATTATAAAGTATAAAATGGGTCAATCAGAAGCACTGTAAAATGAAAGCTTAGGTGTATCTGAATATGCCTCAGGCACAGGATACGTGCTTAATAAATGTTTGTTGAATGGATAGATGGATGGTTGGAAGGATTAATAAATAGAAACTTGAAAGCCCCGGGACACAGGCATTATTGTCTTTTAGCCACTGAGGAGAATGCTTTTGGAAATGATAGACGTGTGGAAAATGAACAGCTAGGTGGTATATATATGATGTTGAACAATATGATTCTGTTTTTGTGTGGCAGTGTATGAGATCAAAGTGACATAAGTTATATTTCCTCTTTCCTCAACCACAGCTTTTTTCTACTGCTCTTTATCAGCCCGTACAGTCCTGTGCTACATGTTGAGAAACATGGTACATGTTGAGAAATGTGTCATTAAGCAATTCATCACTGTGTGCACATCATAGAGTGCACTTATGCAGACCTAGATGGCACAGCCACTTGCTCCTAGGCTAAGCAGCTGCACGGCGTGTTACTGTACTGAAACATCTAAATGTAGGAAAGGTAGAGTAAAACTACGCTATAAAAGATAGAAAATGGCGCACCCGTGCAGGGCACTGACGGTGAATGGAGCTTGCACGACCTCACGTTGCTCTGGGTGAGTCAGTGAGTGAGTGCTGAGCGAATGGGAAGCCTAGGACGTTACTGTGCACTGCTGCAGGCTTCACAAACACTGTGCCCCGAGGCTGCACTAGCTTTATAAAACAGCATAAAATTAAGTGAAGCACAAGAGGAAATGATGCAGCCAAGAGACGTGATATGAGGCAGCCGCAAGTGTAACACAGCATATTGTTTTACAGGAAAGGCTTGATAAGTCGAGAGAGTACATGCTAAATATAATAATGAAAATATAGTACGATAGAAATATAGTACAATAAATACATAAACTAGTAGCCGTCATTTTTTATTATCAACAATTACGCACTGTACATAATTACATGTGCTATACTTTTATATGACTAGCAGTGCAGTAGACTTGTTTACACCAGCGTCACCACAAACACGCGAGCGATGGCGGCACTGCAACATTAAAGGCCGTGTGTCACTAGGCGATGGAAATTTTTCCCTTATAATCTGTGGGGCCACTGCTGTACGTGCGGTCCATCATTGACTGAAGCATCGTTGTGCGGTACATGAATGCATATATATTTACAGTATCTAGTTCTCCCCATCCACAAAAAACTCAACAGACCTCCTTTTACCTTGCATCTTGTAGCTATCACTTTTTCTCTCTCCAACGTAGACAAACCTGATTTTTTAGAGCTGATGCTTATGCAGTGTAGGGTACCCTCACGAAAGAAAGAACAAAACTGTACATACAAATAAGAACAAAATAAATTTAGTTACAGTAAGAAAAGAAATCCCAATATATCACAAGTTTTAAAAAGCTGGCAGATACTACCAATAGCACTAAAGCCAGGAAAATAGCATACAATTTTTGTTAATGAAATGCTTTTTATAATACTTTGCCACTGAACAGCTCTGTCTCCCATCCACTTTATTTTTGTTGTTGTAGTTAATCCTCACCTGAGGATATTTTTTTCATTGCTCTTTCAGAGAGAGCAGAAGGGAGGAAGGGAGAAGAGAAAGAGAGAGAGGAGAGAGAAACATTTATGTGCATCGACTGGTTGCCTCCCGCACGAGCCCTGACCAGGGGCAGGGAGGGAACCAGAAACTCCGTTACGTGCCCTTGACCAGAAATCAAACCTGAGACCGTTCGGTGCAGGGGTCAATGCTCTAACCACCGAGCAACACCAGCCAGGGCTGTCTCCCATCCACTTTATTTTTTTTTCTTTATCTCTTGCATGTACTTTCCTGTGTGTTGGTTTTATTTATTTATTTTTAATATGTCTTTATTGATTTCAGAGAGGAAGAGAGACATAGAAACATCAATGATGAGAGAGTCGTCATTGACCGGTTGCCTCCTGCATGCCCCCGACTGGGGATCGAGTCCACAACCGGGCATGTGCCCTGACTAGGAATCGAACCACGATCTCCTGGATCCTAGGTCGATGCTCCACCGCTGAGACCATCCACTTTAAACCTTGTTTCTCCTCTACTCCGCACCTGCTGCTGGAAAATTCAATGAACCAGTAGGGAACACAAGCCCAGAGAGGAGATGGCTTGTCATTATTTTATTTGAAAATCTACTGGGCCAGCCTCAATGTCCTTTTTCTTTATTGCCTGAGGCAGAACTGGATGGAAATGTTCCCTGTCCCCAAACCCACTTCGAAATCTCCAACTTTCATTGAATTCCGATTAGGGGTCCAGGCCCTCCGCTAAAGGCCATACTCATGGCTGCAAGCAGAAATTCCTTCCTTTTTCCCTGACCCACCAGCCCAGGCCAAAGCCTGAACCACAGGGCATCTCTGCCTTCTCTAAGATGGGCCTCACTCTGCCTCTCATTGGCAGGTCAATCAGAACGCCCGGTATTCCAGGTCTCCGGCAAAAATGCAAGTCTTCAAATCTCCAATTTGCCTGAAAACTACCAACGTCTCACCTGGTTTTACAACACCACACAGAAAATTTTACAATGGGAGTCCAACGAGCCTAATCCTCGCTTTTTCAGAACTAAATTTAAGGACAGGGTCATGCTTTGTCGTGAAAATGGTGCGCTCCACATCTCTGATGTCCGGAAAGAAGACAGCAGCAACTACATCCTGAAGGTATTGAAGTCTGGGATTGAGAGGGGCTGGAAAGTCCCCCTGCAGGTGTTTGGTGAGTTTGGGGAACCCAAGGGCAAGTCCCCATTCTGGGCCCCTTATGGACCAGTGGGAGGCTTCCTGGTGATCATGGGGGCTCTTCTGGGAGGAGAGAAGAACCTCAGGACAGGCTTAATTCATTTCTCCTGGAGCCAATTCTTGGGAGAGATCCTGGGCCAGCAGAACCCAAATCGATAGCCTTGGGACACTTAACATCTCTTTGATGTTAGTGAGTCTAAGATTTGAAGAGAAGAAAAACAGTAAGATGTTTTCCTCTCTATTCTCTTCATGTTCTCCTGTGATCAACCCAGATCAGTTCTGAGCTCATCTTAATAATATATTTGAACAAAGACTTTATCAGACTTAAGGAAAAAGAAGAGATAAAGGATGGAGCAGAATATTAAGGAGGGATTTTAATCTTTCTGAATGTATAGGACAAAAACTTCTACTCAGAGCTCTAGCCTAAACAATATATATGGAATAAGTACTAGGACATTATACATGGAAATCTGGGTTAAAAACTGTATTCACTTACTAGCTATGTGACCTTGGAGAAAGATTTTAACATCATTATGCCCATTAGGTAAATTTCTTCTCTTTTTTTTAATGTATCTTTATTGATTTCAGAGAGAGGAAGGGAGAGGGAAAGAGAGAGTTGAAACGTCAACGATGAAAGAGTCGTCATTGATCAGCTGCCTCCTGCACGCCCCCGACTGGGGATCGAGCCCACAACCCGGGCATGTGCCCTGACCGGGAATCGAACCTCAATCCCCTGGATCCTGGGTCGATGCTCAACCACTGAACCATGCCCGGCTGGGCAGGTAAATTTATTCTGATGGCAAGTAACAGAAACCAATTCGATGTACCATTAGCAAAAAAGGAGAATTTATTTAATAAACTAGGATTATTTAAAACACTTAAAGGACGTTAGAAGATTCAAGAAGGGAAGAGGGGAGGAAGACTGAGAACCAGGGCCAGTCCAGAGTCCCTAGCCTCAGGTATCTGTGGACTAGGCCTAAGGGTCCCTGCCATTTTATATGACTTATCTCTCAAAGTCTAGACTTTTGTACCTTTCTATTTAAATTCTCAAGAGAGAAAAACTGGTTGTGCTGGGGAAGATGTAGCAACGTCTTCTCCAAGCCACCCCTTTGCCTTTGGACTTCTCTGGGGTCAGCAGCTGCCTGACCTGAGAGGCCCAAGGCCACGGGCATAGCCAATTGCCATGGGTTCTGTGTCAAACCAGCAGTTTGCAGGGTAAGCTGCACATGGAAGGCTTCTGGAGTCCACCAAAGCCCTGACCAGCATGATTCGGTGGTTAGAGCGTCAGTCTGCAGACTGAAGGGTCCTGGATTCGATTCCTGTCGAGTGCACATACTTTGGTTGCAGGCTTGATGCCCTGGCCCCTGCCGGGCACGTGCGGGAGGCAACCAATTGATGTTTCGCTCTCTCTCTCTTTCTCTTTCCCCCCTTCCACTCTCTCTGAAAAGCAGTGGAGAAAATATCCTAGGGTGAGGAGGCGGGTTCACATAGCCAGGGCACATAGCCAGGTTGCAGGTTTGATCCTCAGTTGGGGTGCGTATGGGAGACAACTGTTCGATGTCTCCCTCTCTTTCTTCCTTTCTCTCTCTAAAAATAGTAAATAAATAAATTTTTAAATGAAGAAGTTCACCAAAGGCCTGGAATCTATCTGACTCACCAGCTCTAGGGGACTGTCCTATATTAAGAGTGAGAGGAGGCCAGAAGGGCAGAACATGGAGAAGTGAAGCTCAAAGGGGCGGGTGGGGCAACTGTGCAGGTCTAGACCGTTATGCCGAGGACTGCAAGCTGCCACCCCACCCCTAGGTGGTGGCCTGGCATCCACTGAAGGTCCAGCAGGCCCCCAGCTCACAGGGAAGGCCAGCCAGCCTACTTACGGGAGGAAGAAAAAGAGCCCCACAGCTCTGATCTGCTCCCAGGGGCCTAGAATTGAGCCACGGCGCATGTGGGGGGCATCCTTTTGCGATCAGGAAGCGTCGAGGAGCAGGCATCAATCGGCAGAAAGGAGAAAGTGGAAACAGGATGGGTAGGGGGCAGCTGGCACTGCTGTTATCTCAGTCTGGAGTGCACAGCGTCACCCCCTCTTCCTTCCTGGAGGGTGAACAGGGAGGGGCGAGGCAAAGAACTCCAACCACGGCTCTATCCAAACGCATGGGAGGGTTTTGGGGGAAATCCCTCCCTGTATGGTTTATCTGAGTCGCCAGCCCCAGAATCTCCAGCGTTTGAAAGTGACCTGGATAGGGAGGTAGCTTTCGTTTCAAAGAAGCCTATGTAATAATAATATTTCCTGTGCGAGAGTGAAAAAAGATTAAGCCTAAGACTGCATTGATGGACCCAACCCACAAACCACTACGTTCTGTGGGAGGGCATCTCAGGTGAGGCAGGGTTTTTCCACGCCCTTTCTCTTCATAACCCACTCCTCGGATAGGGGTCTGAGAATTGTCCCAAGCAGTGGGTTGTGATGACAGGCAAAAGGGGTGGTTGGGGGACCAGTTGCAGACCTGCTACTCTTAAGCTCACTCCCACCCCATTCTGGGCCAATATAATTTTATTTATTTGGTCCCTTGGAAAACTGCTCCTTGGTCCCACTTTTTCTAGGTTGCCAACTGCACTAGCTGTGTGTGAATGACCTATCCTAAGCAGTTTACCTTTTCATTTGCTTTTTTCTTTTTCCACTTTCAGGTGTTTTTTTAAATTAAATTAAATTAAATTTTTTTAGAGAGAGAGGAAAGGAGAGGGAGAGAGAGAAATATTGATGTGAGAAACATTGATTGACTCCCTCCTGCACACCCCCTACTGGGGATCAAGCCCACAACCCAGGCATGTGCTTTCACTGGAAATCCAACCAGCAACCTTTTGGTGCACGGGATGATGCTCCACCAACTGAGCCACACTGGCCAGGGCCACTTTCAGGATTAAAAAAAA